GGGGACATGATGAAAAATTGAGCTTTGTTCTTGTCATATTACAGGGCATGGAGAACACCATCCCGCTGGCAGGACTCGTGCTCGGGTGCCAACAGCTGGAGCCACCGCTGGCTGTGCCCACTGGTGCCAGCCTCAGCGCTGTGAAATAGACCAATAGCGTCCCAGGGCTATTATACAAATTGTCTTCACCTGGCCCCCTCGCACTTTAACGCAGCTCTCATCTCCATTGTTCAGGGCACTTTAGGTTGCAGGTGACAGAAATCCAAGTTGCTCAAGCAAAGGAAACCAAGACGTGTGGGCTGATGTTGCTGAGGAGGGTGGAGGAGGGCTCACGTCCGGCTGCACGGGGTTTGGGCTGAAGGAAAGGTAGCAGTCCACCTTCCTCCCGTATCTCAACTCTGCCCTCTCTGCGCTGGTTTCATTCTCATCTACTGGAATGAGCTGTCTGCACGTCAGGGGACAGCCACCAGGAGCTCTAAAACGCGCGCGCTTGCTTGTGATTCAAGGGAAAGGAGCCTTTGATGCAATGTGTGGATCTCAGTGTCATGGACGCGTCCAGGTGGCCCGCTTGGAGCCCCGCGGGAGCCCAGGACCCTGCGGCCGTCCAGGGAGGCGCTGGGCCTGACTCGAGCTGGGGGAGAGTGTGGCCCCAGAAGACAAGGCAGGGCACACAACACAGCCAGTGCTCACGGCCAGCGCTAAACCGCCAAGGGTCCCCGCATTTTGAGTGTTTCTAGTAAAGAGAGAGTAAGAGACATCTGCAAAACCGCTCTCAGCTCAGCGTGCGCCTGGCGCCTTCAGGTCCCCTGTCTCCAGGCCCCACTGAGCCCAGCTCCAGGCGGAGCCCGGTCTAAACTACTTCACAGTTAGGGCCGAAACTGAGCTGCTGTCTTCTAAATGGAACAAGCTGCAGAGCTTGCTGGGAAATATGAAAAATGTTGATAACAAGCATGATAAATATTATAACAGAAGACACGGTGCTAGCTACTGGGTTGTCGGAAAAGTCCTGACGCATTTTTACAATGAAAAACAGAAAAAATACATCATGGCTTTTCCGACANGGGGGGTAAGCAATCAGTACATAGGGAGCTCCCTTGTTCCGTCCTGACTCCCGCTATGTATCTACGATCTGTCCTTGGCCTGCCCACCTACTGTTCCTTTCCTATCTAGTCCTTGAGCCATTGCCAACTGCCTTTGGCTGACACGTAGCCAAGTTGCTATCCTGCTCTGACCTTTCAGAGCAGGTTCCCTGCAATATTGCAATCCAGTGCTGTGTCCCTACAGCACAAAAATGGGAGGGACTGACCCTTGGGCTCACTGGCTGTGAGGACTGGCCTTGACTATAGTGGAAGAGTTGTTGTGCATGGGGCTGACCCTACAGTGCAGGGTCTGCCTCAGCATGGCTCTGGTGTTTGCCCAATCTGACCCTTGGGTGTGTTGTACTTGGAGGTGGCTGGGTACAGTTCAGCTCGTTTTGAAGCTGGCCATTGCGGGGAGCCAGCCCCAGGGCCACCTTGGAGGGCATCCACTGTAGGTCAAGTTCAGCCACAGCCCTGTTCCCCACCCAGGGACACCCAGCAGGAGCCACAGAGAAATCCGCAGATGACTGCCACCCCTGCTGTGCTTGAAACAACCTTGAGAGGCCAAGCTGCAAACCATGGCTGGCTGCAGCTAGTCCTGGCTTCGGGCTGCTCAGCCAGAGGTACAGGACACGCTCAAGCCAGATGCTGCTTGTCTGGGTTCCACGAACCTTTGGGAGGGTCTAGGAAAGTCTGCAGCTTGAGCTAATGCAGGCGGTTTATACGAAAAAGTCACTGGAAGTGGCCTGGGTGTGCCTGGAAGTTGGGCGGGGCGGGGTCTCAACTTGCCAGGGCATGGTGAACGTAGGGCAGAGACTCAGATATGGTGGCCGAAGGTGTCCGCACACCGGGAAGGGTGAGGGCTCAGCAAAGAAACATGGCTTCCACCAGCTCCTCTATCTGGGTGAAAGCTGCCCCTCCAGCTGTCATTCTAAAGCCAGAGGACTCAGTTCCCCACCATGTGTCCCTGCCGCCTTTCCAGCTGCTGCCCCAGCGCTGGAGCTCGGAGCGAGTGATTCCGTTGGTGGGTAAGTCCGTGCATCGTCCCTTTAGGAGGAGCACC